CCCCAAAACCCCAAAACCCCAAAACCCCAAAACCCCTTCAATATATTACCATATTGGATTATGCTGTAGAATTTTTAAGTAAAAGGTATCTTTAAAGAGTATGATTATTTCACTTTAGCAGCAGAGTCTTGGGCATCTTTACCTATCTTTGTTATGCAAATACGTACTCTTAGTATCTGAGAAAGTTGTCTTTACCTTTATATCTGTCCACAGCTGATTAAATTCATCATCTATACTTAAAAGGAACCCTTACCATCATCTTGCTCCGAGATTGAGCTAATAGAGCTATTTTCATCATCATTTGGCTTCTTAGCCTTACTCTTCGGTTTACTTTGCTGTTTCACAATTGGCTCTTTCTTCTGTACTTCTTTCTTATCCTCTTCCTTCTTCATCTCTTCATTCTTTTGCTCTTTCTTAACCTCTTCCACCATTACTTTATCATCTTCTCTATCCGGTTTCTGCTGCTCTTTCTGAGATGTTGAGCTTCGCTTCCTCTGATTTTCAGGTTCGAAAAAGTCCTAAAGAGATTACTCCCACTAAAATACAGATGCTAGGCGCTGCCACTCTGGAACATCCTCATCAAGCTTCTTCTGTTGTGACTTCTTCTCTCTCTTATTCTTGTGCTTACTTCTGTTCTCAGTGGAGGTTTTCCTCTGAGACTTTGGCTGATTGAGCTGGTTCAAAAACCCACTAAATCCGATGAGACATTAGGAACTTACTTAGTGAGCTCAGTAGACCAAGTGGCTCCTGAAGGCTGGTACTGCTGGGGCTGATTCGCCTCAGGCCTCTGGATTGAAGAGTTGTTCTTGCTAGGATTTGTTTTGGCATTTTTGTTCCTCTTCTTGTTCTTCCTCTTCTTGTTCTTCTTAGATTTTTGAGGTTCCTGACTGTTTTTCCTCGGAATGTTGTTGCTGAGGGAATGCTTTTGGAAACTTGCAGATCGAGGCTTTTGGAATTGCTGAGGTGATGGCTTTGGGGACTTTTTGAGAACAGATTTTAAAGGCTTCTGGTCCTTCTTTGGTAACATCAAAGATCCAGATTGTGTTGAGATCATGCTTTCAGGAATTTTAGGCTTTTCGGAACCATTTTTAGAACTAACTTCATTATCTTGATGATTTTTGAGAGGTTGAGTGTCAAGAGAAATTTTGTCTTTAGTTTCTTCTTGAAGCAATGCTTTCTTTTCAACTTTTTTCTCCTCGACTTCTTTATCTGAAGAGCTAGAGATGCTACTTTCGCTGCTCGAAAGGATATTGACTTCAGGCTGCTGAGTTATCTTTGGATCAGGTTGCGACTGCTTTACAGTTTCAGTGGGTTTTGCTTCAGTATTCTTCACCTGATATAAAGCATAATTCAAAGATATTATATGTCATTTACCCCGAGTGAATGATTTTCTGGACTCTCATCCTCTTGTGGTCGTTTAGGAAAAGTAGTGACTTTTTCAGTTTCTAAGTCATGGAATTAAAGACTTACCTTGGGTCATTGGGACATCTTCCTCAGTAGCAACTATGGGTCTGGAGCTAGAAGGCCTATGATATTAGATATGTAATTTTACTGCTCAGTCTTTATTGAAGTGGAAGTACATGCATACACATTGATCTTCTCATTACTCGTTAGAACAGAGTCAATTATCTCATTCTGAGCTACCTCATATTCTTGGTTTAGATAGATCTTAATCGATTTGAGCTCTGGAAATTCTGGCCTGATTTCTTTAAGTACAGAGTTCAGCTTTGAAGCCATCTGCCTCAAATTTCTAAATAGAGAGTTTAGCAAAAAGAGCTGTTGATAAGTAATTTTTGATGAAATTTAACATTTCGAGTGAATCCAGACGATACGTTACCTGCTAGACTCTTGCTGGGAAAGATTAAGCACGACCTTTGCTGTAAGTACGCTGCATCCTTCTAGGAGCCCTTTAGAAATAATTTCTTGGATGTTTTGGAATCCTCCTCATTTTTCGATTATGTGACTAATCCCAACGCTAGAGTCCGTTTCTGGGTTCTCTTGTCTAAATAATGTCAAATAGGTTTCAAACATAAAAGAGAAGTAGGTGGTATAACTCACTTGAGTGAGACATGGGAGATATGGAAGACATCAACAAACAGTCTCATATTGCTCGTGTTCTAAATAATTTATTGCAGCAAAAGGGGTTTTGGGGTTTTGGGGTTTTGGGG